AAACCATCAATGGGTTAGCTGTGTTGTCATTTCCATATTCTTACCAAAATTTCTGCTGTTATTTACAACTCATGCTTTTTGCCTGTGGGTTTTCAATGCTTTCTATTTATCAATGAACTCAAGTAGTTTACTTTGTATTTTGTAAACATACTAAACTATTTTCCTTGTATTCTAGCTGATGCTTTTAGACAGATATTCCACTCACTTGATGTCTGGCATAAGTCAAAAGGAATCCGGAAGTGTCTTTCAAATGTGAGTTAGAGTTGATATTATATTAATTTTGCAGTGGCCACAAAGAACAAATTTCGTGTAATTCTTTCTAATATGTGACTCTATCCCATGTATTGGCAAGACTCATTCCTATAAATAGAACATAAACATACATTGTGTTGTCACTTGTAAATACGCCCATGTAGTATACTTCACTGTTGTATATTTCCAGGGTAATCAAATCATATCTTTAACCAATGGGCCAGGAATGGACTAAGAAATGTTGTTAACATAATCTGTAGAGAATTAAATGCTAAAAGTTTGACAATGATGATTGGACTGTCAATGTAGGTTTATTTTTTTGAGTCGTTGCATTTATCTCTGCCAGAGAGAAAAATTTAAGGCTTGTTATTGATCTTCTGTAGGTGGGAAGTGCAAAGGGGATGGATGAAGTGGCCCTTTGGTCTGACCATATTGTTAGACACTTTTGGCACTGTTGCAGTCTGGCATCTGAAGTCGAAGGCAATGACCTAGAAGCTCTGAAGATATTGAAGGTAATTCCAATTTATCATCTTTTTTAAAGTAATTAATAACAGGGCTGTCGGTAACAGGTGATGGGTCTATGTGGCCCCCAGCTACACTCAAAGGGAAATAGAAGAAAAATGAAACCAAACAAAACCCCCCGTTGTTTGATTCTCTGCCTACTTATTTTATGTACCAAGCAACTTGAAATCTTAGTGACAGCTCTGAATCAATTTTCAAAGACTTTTTTGAAAATTATCACATTATATTATATCAGGCTGTAAAAACTTTGTTTCTTCACAATGTTTTAGGGTCTGTTTACATGGAGGTGGGGGACCTCGGATGGGTGAGGTAAAATGTGGTGGATCACCCCGTCTGTCAAATTAAAATGAGATATTATATGGACAAGCGGGATACCCCACCAAAGCGGGTTACCTCACCTACATGGGGTTCCCTACCTCCATGTAAACAGACCCTATGTCAGTATCATCTTGTTATATCTGTTTCAATGAAATTTTACTATTATGAAATCAGGATACCTGGATCTCACTATTACACAATGTGTGCAATCGACATGAGTGGGCTGATGGCCATTGTGACCACGAACCAATCACTGAGGAAAACCACCAGCTTCCATGGTTTGACAGGAGATCCAAAGAGTTTGAGGCACTGCAAAAAATTATCCTGGATCCTGACCTTCTTGAAAGTTTCAAGTACTACACCAGATTCAGGTATATAAGGGGAACCCTGTTTTCATAAGAAAGACTAAATATATATCTTATTTCAATACGTTGGTTTATTCAAATATAATGTTTACGAATGACTGTTATGGTGTTCAAAGAAAAAATATTTTGGTTTGTATTCCTGTCTGCTTGGTCCTTGACAAAAGAAATGTAAGGAGGAAACTTAAAAGAATAATGTGTTAATGAATACTATTCCAATAACTCTGAGCAGCCCCATTCCTTAAACTAAGCTCAGTAGTGTTAACGTTGTCAGGCTTAGGCAAGGGTTTATTTTTTATTGCCACTGTGGACCTTGTGAAAACCTTCTTAAGGTGTTGGCCAGCCCCTAAATGCCTTTCTATGTCAAGCTCAATTCATTGCCCTTTTTTAATTATTACATGTATATTTAACCATGTTTTTCAAAAATATTCATTTTACTTTTAGGCATACAGGCGCATTAGAACGAGCCAACTCTCTGTCATTGATGTATGCCAGCAAGAGAATTTCCTACACGTAAGTAACGACACTTCATAGTTTTAAAAGTTCATAGTATTTATATGATCTGTAGGGTATAGCGAAGGGGAGCTCAAATATTGTCGTGTACTTCAAAAAATTGCACTGTGTGAACAAAGATCTCATGGAACACTGTCTATTTTGATCAATTGTTCTTTTTAGGACGAAAGTCTACAAAGCAAGAAAACAATTAGCTGCCATTGACTGGAACTATCACCTCGATATTCCTGAACAAGAAGATGTGCTAGGCGAGGTTGCTGTGACCCGGAAGAACAACCAAAGAAAAAAGAGCTGGAATGTGAAAATTGTAAAGCAGGCCAAAGACGATGGTTATATTTGGATGCTTCTGGCTAAGTGTTTCGTCTACGTGTGGAGGATAATGAAAATATGCAGAGGGCGGTCCCAATGGAAGCTGATGACCCAAGGAGGATAGCCCCTACAATTGCTGTGGTGCCACCCCCACCTTCACGCGAGCTCTTTATTCAGCACAGCAGCAGGTTTAAGAAAAACTAGGAAACACGATGTAAAATATGTAATAAATATGGAACATTTATGTATTCATGTGCAGTGTAAGAAAATATTCATCAAAGAAGGACTGTCATGTATGATGCACAACAAGCAACAGTGATGTTTTTGACAATAAATTGACTATAAATATAACCTATGATAATTGTTTAATAATTTTAATGCACAATATGTGAAACTAAATAATGCAAAAGTTAACAGAAGACAAAGGATTGGTCAGTAAATGTGAATACCGGAGTAGGTTGGTCCTTATTGAACTAACTATTGGAATCCATTTTTGTGAGTCTAATTATCCATATTATAAAATTTGCTTGCACTGCCACAATACAAATACAGCTGTAATGCTATTGTTTTCATGGGGTAATATTCACAGGGGTACTCAATCCAGGACAACTTTTTTTGGAGGGGGGTGGGGTTGGCGGTATGGCATGAGGTTGAACAAACCCACTGCAAGGCTGTGCTCTAAGGAAAATTGAGGGGTGCCCAGTGCTCTGAACCTGTAAAATCTAGGGTACCCAGCATATGATTTGTATGAAAAATCTGAGATTTTCTAGTCGCCCAACGGCAAAAGTTAGGCGCCAGGGGCCACCGGGCTCTGCTAGAGCACAGCCCTGCACTGCAATTAAAAATTCCTTGTAGAAACCTATCAAAAAGTTATTTCCATTTTAGCCAGGTTTGAACCCCATGTACACCCCAGTTGAGGAAGGGTAGTGCTCTCGAATTTTCCATACACAGCATGAAGGGCATACCCTTCTTTTGTGTTTTCCCAGGTAGCCATATTCTTCAATTATATAATGACGATAGGCAGCCTTTCGGAAGGCTCTGCTGCTATTATCTTGGCGGTCGTTTCTGATATCCCCTGAACACTTTCTGCTTAATTGTAAATAATCAGGGTCCAGGCATAGCTTGCGAAAGCGTGCGCTAAGTGAGACACAGTCTCTAGAATTACAGCACCGGTTCTCAACCTCCTGCGACATTCTGCGGCAATGTCCACATTTGCACCACTCAGGCACTGGTTCACTTGACCTTGCCATAGATGCTGTTGGCAGTGGCCTGAAAGATGAGGGCCCACCTGAAGTTGATGTTCCAGATATGCTCGAGTCTGAGGCTGGGGTGGATGCAGGTGTAGATTGGGCGGGCTTCGGTGGTGCTGGACTTGACACTTCTGGGGGGATAGAGAAAGGGAAGATGGGAGAGCGGCATCATTATTCTCATCTTCTGGGTCCTCCTGGATAAGAAGCATATCTATATAGTCCATGCTGCCCACTCCCCTCTGTAGAGCTCTTGTAGCAACTTTTTTTGCTAGCTCCTCATCCAGGGTTTGGATAAACTCCTGTGAGGTTGAAAAATAGTGCCATAATTTGTTAGAGTAGCTGGACAATTACTTTTTATCACATTCTGTCGAAGCTTGACACCTAGATTCTTTTAAGAGCGTAATCGACAAGAAAATAACAAATAAAAAGGGGACTTCCCTAAGAAATCTTGCACACCTCAGAACATGACACACAAACGAGACACTAAAACAAAAGACAATTTGCTCCATTTAGGGGAAGCAACGATCAACGACTTGTACAAGGGAAACTTACTAGATAAAGGAATAGCAGATGAGATTTTTGAAGGACTATCTTTTGTGCCATCGACTATGAATTATAATTCAGTATTGTACCTTCACTCGTCGATTTTCCATGTCCCGTTCTAGCTCCTCCGTAAGACCATTATCCGGTTGGCCTGGCGGTCCTTGCACGAATCCCCATCCTTGGGATGCCACGGATGCAGCCTTCACATGATAAAAAAGAAATTGCAAACTGTACTAGCACTTCCTACTAGCGAATTTTAGACCTCAACCGAGCCTTGTTTCCCCACCTCTCTCTGTTCTTGCACGGCTTTCGTCGACTGCACGAACAGGCCTCTCCGCAGAAGCGACCGGCTGTTTTGCAAGGACATCCAGTCCTTTTTCTTCCTGCTTTCGTAGAGCAAGTGCTTGTACACTGGCAAGAGTTAGGGACGTTGTCCTGCGCAAACGGGAAGGAAATAATGCTGACTAGATTTCGCGCAATCGAGTGGAATAAACTGCGGTATTCAGAAGTCCGGGAAGAGTAGAGCGCGAGTCGCTGACTACAAAAGCGGCAAGAAAGTTGTGGCTAAATTAATACACGGATACATACCGCAAAAGAGCTACTTTGTTCCGAAGAAAGGCTCATTTCTGTAAAAGGTTCTAACGAAAATAAAGAATCTCGATGAAGGTTTCGCAGCGCGAGTCGGCTTTTCACATGGGCTCGTATAAACATGGCCTTGTTTACATCATTTGCATCTGTCAAATGCAAGCATGCGCAGTAGCCGTGACACAGCTCCTTTAACCCTAATCAGTTTAGTCAAAATCACATATGAATAGCAAATACAAGTCTACGTACGGGTCCCATACAAATAGCCACTAGGTTCAATTTAAATACCTAATATTGAAACTTTTTATGGTGGGTTTACATCTATAATTCTTGTTTTGTTTCCACC